AATAGGAATAAGCCACAATAGGATTACTAAATAATGTTCTAATAATATTTAATAAAAACACATTAACAATTATTTTTTGCAGTACATAAATACCATTTTAGGTTTACGTTGTTTGTTTGTTGTTGTTGTTTTTTGTGTATTTTTTTTTTTTTTTTACATTTCTTGAGTTAGTAAAGAAACTCTTGAGTTAGTAAAAAAACATCAGGGAAGTTTAAAAAATTTGTAGTCTTTTCAAAAGGTTTTATAAAACGTGGACAAAAACATTCTAGGGTTATTCATATAGTGATAACCGTCTATCTAACAAAAAATAACTTATTATAAATATAGAAAATCTTATCCGCATTATGAGCTGTAGCTAAAAATAATTTGAGTAAGATTAATAATTAACTTGATTTTTTAAATGAACAAAGCATGCTGCTGCTTTATGAATAGATACTTAAGCAAAATCAATAAAAATTAAAAATCTAGAGCTGTAACAATCGATATTTAAGAATGCAATAGTATTATTATTTGAAATTAAACAATAAATAATTTAAATAAGGAAATGATTGAAAATCTTTACATGATTTTATCTAAAATATGCTTCGGGTAACCAGAAACATATTATTTTGTTGTATTTGTCGGAATAATAATTAATGCAGAAATTTATACCAAAATAAATTAAAAATTACAAATCAGCAAGAGTATTATTATATTATATATAATTTTTACTATTATTATTACTACTACTGCAATTGTTATTATTATTCTTATTTTTGTTATTATTATTATTTTAAATTAGGTTTACTCTTAAATATCTTAAGTTTTTTCTCATTTTTGAAAAATGTAAAAACAAATTGCTGTTTTATAATTTAACATTTTTCAAAACATGATTTTTGAATGAAAACGTTGCGGCGTGAAAAAACAACTTAAGTTAACTTAACAACTTAACATTACCTTCGTTGACATGGTGTTTAAACTCCGTTCCTCGAGCTTAAAACAGGGGTGCGCTATTACTAAACTACTTTCGCATTGTGTTACCCATTACCAATTTAATTACCATACTAGACTAGATCATCAAACTTTCTACATTCATACTCCTAACTACAAAAGCGCATTAATTAGACCAGTATTTTTTAAATCTTAGAGCCGGAAAATTTGAGGAAAAAATGATAAAGAAAAAACTTTTGTTAAAAAGTAATTTAAGAAATGTAAAATAAAGTTTTGTGTAATAAAATATTTTAAAGTAACTTGTATTAAATTTTGAAATTTTTTTTTTACTTATACATAGTTTGAAAAACTTAGCAGTAAAAAAATTTGTAAAACTGAAGTAATGATAGTAAACTAAAGTAGGGGAGACCGGGGCTAGTTGGCTCGGTTTTTACTCTATGAGCTCTGTAGTCCTAATAGCACACTTTTTTGAAAATATTAAAGTGTAGTCTCAAAGCGTATGAACTTGGGTAACTTATAAAAGTTTCATGGATTTACAAAAAAAAATTCTTGGGGCCTTACGGGGCCCTCAAAAAAAAAAAAAAAATTGCGCCAACTTACCCCACCACGGGGTAAGTTGACGCAAACTATAAACGTGATTATTAATGTACTATTAAGTGCAAAATTAATAGAAATTTTTTACCTATTAATTTTGGCAACAATTTAAGCTAATAATTTGATATTATTTTTAGCTTGTGCTAAATATTAGTACGTATAACAGCCAAAACAGCAGCCCTCTTTTTACCTGTTACAAAAAACCTAAAAAAAAAAATTTTATAATTTTTTTGTAAGAATAAGTTTTTTCAATATTGTTAAAAATTAAAAAAATTAAAAAAATTATTTTTATAAAAATAAATATTTTTCTCCATAGTAAATGCTATGAGCCAACTTACCCCGTAAAAATTTTGTCAACTTACCCCGAAGGCTTTTTTTTCAATAAACAGTCTATAGATCCTGAAAAACGGCAACTTTTAAAAAAAGTCAAACTGAATATAGTAAACCAATTGTGGCTAGAACTTTTACAATAATTTTTTTTCCATTTGACTAACTATTTTCTTTGTAAAGTAAAAAGGAAGCGATGTTTCAAAAGTTACGTTTTTGTCCAAAAAACACTTAAATCTTAATATCTCCCATGCGCATGCGCGAATCCTGACAATACTACATTGAATGATGAAACAGTCAATTAGGAAGATTCTGTGTAATTTTTATCACTTTCTGATGAAAGGCTTTAAAGATAAACGCAATTCGTCAACTTACTCCTGCGGCCAACTAGCCCCGGTCTCCCCTACTGTAAAACTAAAGTAATGATAAAATAATAGATTAAATAAATAAATAATGCAAAGCGTTTTAAAATTTATAAAATCATTTTGATTAAATTTAATAAAATAAATTTATATTTAATTATCGCTTATATTTAATACTTAATTTAACGCTGCTGCTGCCCATTCGTGCGCATTTACACGGACTTTTTTTACCATTTACAATAAATAGGATTTAGCATGCTCCTTCTCTTTATACTTTTGAACTCACGTGATGAGGTACTCTCAAAACTTAGTAATCTGTCATTACCTTCTTAATCATTAATAAAATCGAAAACTTTGCTTCATAAGCTTAATTAGTCGTAAGATCGACAATTTTTATTTGATAACTTCTGTAGTAAAGAATAAACTTTATGTCATTTTTGAATTAGCAAAGTAACTTTTAAAGTCAGGTAGTAAAGTAGCATTTAGAGTCATGCATTACAATAAAAACACAATCAAGTCCTTTGTCAATTGTATTAACCTGTAATTTTTAAATTAGAAGACAAAATGGCTCTAGAAAACGTTGATCTTTTCAAAGTTCAAGAGGTCAAACTCTTGACAAACTTAGAGTTTATCTCCAAAACTCTTGCATCTCACACGGTCAACTCTATGTTACATGTTAAAGAACAAGATCGTTTAATACCTTATTTTAAAGTAGTTAAAAAAAAATCCGTTTTGTTTTATATAAAAAACTAGATCATTTAATAGTTCATTATTTTAAAGTTTTAAACATTTATTACGAGGTATGTCATTAAACAAATATTACAAAAATAAGGTTGTATATCTAATGTTTCTAATTTATACACGTCGTGTGCCCACTGGGAAATTTCATAATTTCCCAGTGGGCACACGACGTTATTTCGACGTTGATTTACAGTTGATTTTTAGTCGCGACGTAGTATAACCTAAAATCAACGTTGTATCCACGTTGAAAAATTTGTTTAAAACTATCAAATAACATCGACGTTGTTTCCACGTTAATTCAACGTCTATATTACGAGTTCGACCGTTCGTAATTGCAATATGAGAGCTAAAGTACGCATGCGTGACTTAAAACTTTTTTTATTAGCATAACAAATAACAAGTAAAGACTTGAAAAGTTACTTATTAGCCCAATAAAAACAAGTAAAGTAAAACATGCTAATAAATTTTGCCATCTGTTGCCTTTTTATAAGGTTTTGAATTTGAAAATTTAACAATAATACATGACTTAACTTGTGATGCAGTTAGCTAGGTAAATATTAAATGGATATTTCTTTATGACCGTATTATTTCATGAGTGTGGATTACAAGAAGAGATTACTTGATATATTATATAAATATAAAATATATATTATATATGTTTTTCTTATATATATATATATATATATATATATATATATATATATATATATATATATATATATATATATATATATATATATATATATATATATAATATATATATATATATGTATATATATATATATATATATATATATATATATATATATATATATATATATATATATATATATATATATATATATATATATATATATATATATATATAGTATATATATATATATAGTATATATACTTATATTATGTATATACATATATAGTGTATGTTATATATGTATATATATAGTTTATATATTATGTATATACATATATATTGTATGTATATATTATATATGCATATTATATATATGTATATATATATATATATATATATATATATATATACATATATATATATATATTATATGTATATATACACACACACACGCAGATATATATATATATATATATATATATATATATATATATATATATATATATATATATATATATGTATATATATATATATATATATATATATATATATATATATATATATATATATATATATATATATATATATATATAAAAAGGAAGAGTTGCCTTAATTGGAACAGTTAAGGAATAATTATTTATTAACCTAAGATGGCTTTTTACTAACTAATGGAAAGTTTTATTGTGTTGAATTTGTGAATGAAAATGGATGATGTTTTACAAAATAATGATTTATCAAGCTTTTTTACCAATCCATGTGATTTAAAGAGTTTGAATATTCTTTATATTAAAAATTTTTATTAAATTTTTAAAGATTTTTCTTGTAAAGTTGTATAAAAAAGAATTTGTGCTTGCTCCTTTAGTCCATGATATTGGATGGTAGAAGGATCAACATAAAAATTAAGCAAATTTTAGCAACTGTATAATGTATCATAACGCACAGTTTAAAGTTGTATTTTTCTGTTAGCTATTTTACATGAACAAATTTTTAATATATGAGTATTTTTTCTATTATATTTTCTACTATACTTTTCCAGTTGAAAAAGTATATTAGGGCAAGCAAAATGTTCATTCGAGCTGTTTGGATAGAAAATACAGAGAAATAAAGAGAAAAAATTCGATTGATAATTTTTTGTGCTGGCCATCATCATTAAATGTAATAAACTGTTTCAATGAAATGCATAAACCACATCTAACTAATACAGATTTACGCTGCTCAAAATTAAATGTCATGGAGATAATGTAATTTTTTTTTATTTAAACTTTAAGTCATTACTTTTTTTCCTTGTTTTTTTAACATGCTTTCATTCTGTATATGTTGTTTTCAGTGTTTAGATATATTCTTTATTATATAATGTATTTAAAACATTTTTAAATTGAATGAATATTCTTAGATCATGAGTTATGTGATAAATTTGAATTTGCCACTACTAGTGATACTCAGATAGAATCAGATTCAGAAAACGGTAACTATTTTAAAAGATACATAATTCAAGTATTATTAGTTTTAGTTTGATATTGATTTTTATAGGAGCCACTACCATGCTTATGCAAGAGAAAACATAATAACCAACTGAATAGTCAGCAAGTACCTACTCTTGTAACGCAAAAAAAAGAAACAGAAAACATTTTTTATGCATACTCCACATACTGTAGCTCAAGGTATTAATTGTCTGCCTGCAAGTTGATTTAGGAAGAAAAGATTCTGAACATTTTTTTCTATGCTTCAGTGATTTACACATTTTATTGGTTGCTAAATTAATACATTTTATTTAATTTATGAATAATGTTTTATTTTATATATGTTTTGTTCTTGTGTTTCAACGCTTTTAGAAATTAATTAATGTTTGGTTCTTTTGTCTTTCTGATATATCTTTATTGTTAGAAAGAGATGTTAGTAAAAACTCTTTCCAGTAATTAAAGTAATATCATGACAAATAGTTCTGAAATTCTATGGATGAACTTGCAGCAGTAATTTAATGATTATGATAACAGTTTTAATGATTCTTGGGTGAGGTCAGAAGTGATGGGTTGTTTCAAACCATGCCTTTTTGCAGTTTTTTAATTGTTTTTTGAAAAAGTATTTATTAATAACTTAGCCTAAGTTAATCTACTTGTACCTTTTTATAAATGTACTATAAAAATAATGTGGTGTAATTATTTTCTTAAACCTTTAGGTTAACAAACTTTCTAAAATTGGAGGTAAAACCATTAAGACAAATACAAAAAAATGTGATGCTAAGGTTTGTTAAAAGTAGTTTTAAATAAAAAATCTTTTGAATCTTTTTATTATAGTTTGTTTTAAACTTGTGTTAAAAATATGTGTAGCATATATTTTTAAAAGTTTAGGGAGACATAAAATAAATCTTTTTTTTTTTGTAACTGTTTTCTCTTACTTTTGTATTTCCTTGAGCTAAAGAACAACCTTAAAGTACAAAGGTTGATTTGTAACGCATACTTAACCTTTTTTTTTTACTCGATATATACATACATATATATGAACATAAATAAAACATACATATATATGTATGTATATATAAATACATATGCTTATATAAATATATTATATATATATATATATATATATATATATATATATATATATATATATATATATATATATATATATATATATATATATATATATATATATATATATATTATATATATATATATATATATATATATATATATATATATATGTATATATATATATAAAATATATTCATATAAGCAAATACAATTATATCACAAATATCATTGTTTCATATATATATATATATATATATATATATATATATATATATATATATATATATATATATATATATATATATATATATATATATATATATATATATATATATATATATATATATATATATATATATATATATATATATATATATATAGTATATATTTGCAATAACTGCTTCATTGCATTGTGGCATGCTTGCAATTTATTTTTTATAGTTTCTGTCAACTCTGGGTTAGTATGCACGATCTTGATAATCTCCATAAGATCTTGCTTATTAGTAAGATTTTTTTTTTCCAATCTCTTGCTTTACTATTTCCCAAATGTTTTCTAATGGGTTAAGATCATGCGAGTTGTCTGGCTTTAGCAATACATCAACTAAGCCATAACAGTTTTTATTGTGTTGCAAGTTGCACCATCTTGCATAAATATAAGATTTTTGACATTATTTTTAGTATTTTTAAATTTTTTTGTCAATTTTTGACTTTTTTGGCTTGACATCAATCCCTCTTCGTTTAGCCTTCTACAAATGGTCCGGTCTGACACAACAATTACAGCTTCATGGATAAGCTTAGTAGCTTTTTTTCTGTTTTCCAGGCAGATATTTCTGATTATACTGTCTGCTCTTGGTGTTTTCTTGCATTTAGAAGGTGGTCTCCTTGGACCAAACTCATCCCCTGTATCAGGAGATGAGTTTGGTCCAAGGAGACCACCTTCTGTTCTGTTGGAGTTTGGTCCTATTCTATTTCTTACTTGCATTACGGTTTGGTAAGAAACCTTTGCGGTTTGTGCAATTTTTCATTGAGAATAATTTGTATTTTGTAAAAAACATGTTTATCAATTTTTAATGTAACTATAATAATAATAAAAATGTATAAAGCAGGTTGTTAACCAATGGTTTATAATCAAAAATTAATATGGCTGGTGGTAAAGGTAAAGAGAAGTTTAAAGGAACAAACATTAGGTATTTACTTGTAAGTTAAGTGTAAAATTATATATTTTTTAAAAATCACAGTTCGTTTTTTAATGCTATTTTATTTTTAACTTTTTGATGTATTTGATGCAAATTACTCAGGCAATACCTTTTTTATAGAGAGAGTTTTGTCAATTAAAGCGACTGCTACAGTTGCCGAAATAAGAAAAGGAATAATGACTTTATTAAAATACGCACTCGACAGATCAAATGGTGGTGGTCGGCGCGTAAAAGGCGATTCACCCGATGTATAACATTCATACTTTTTCCTAGTTGTTCTGGAACAATTGATAATAGTTATTATTGATAAATTGATAAATATATTACTGATAAATAAAACTTTTTTTTCAAACATTTTATTTTATTTGCATTGTATATAAAGTCCGTTGAAGCAATTTAGTTGTATCTGATTAATTTACGTGAAATATAATATCCTCTGCGCAAATTATTGCTTTTTTATTGTGTTATTTTATTGCAATTAAAGTTGAGATAATTTTTTAGTTAATTGGATTTAACCAAAATAAAAAACAAAAATCAACGTTGCATTTACGTTGTTTCAACGTTGTTCTAACGTCTTATCAACTACGTATCAATCGAATATATCACCTATTCAAAGTTGAAATATGGTTGATATGTAGTCGATAAGACGTTAAATCAACGTTGAAACGACGTATTCATCGACGTTGTTTCAACGTCGTAGTTTTCGACGTCGGATTTTATTTCCAATTCAACCAAATTTCAACGTTGTTTCAACCAAATTTCAACGTCGGTTTGCGACGTTGTTTCAACGTTATTTCAACGTCATTGTGCCTGATGGGTTATATATTTATTTATATTTGTATGTAATTTTTTATCTGTTAATATGTGTTATGGTTTTATGGGTTTATATTTTGTAAGTATGTAAATATCTTTTATTTATAAGTGTTTCTATCTTTGTAATATAATGTTATTTATTTATAGTTTTTAAGTGGTTATTATGTTGTTTACATGGTTTCAAATTGTTGTGATTTGACTTAGTTTACAGCAAGATTGTTGACCTTGTTAGCCTAGTGGTGAATTTTGCTATAATGTAACTTGGCTTTGTTGAGAGCGAGAATGTTGTCCAAGCCAGTAGATTGGTGTACTGACATAATAAAACACATAAATTAAATCTGTTTGTAATTAGAGTATTCCTAAAAAGTTTAAAAATTTTTTTTTTGAAAAAATATGTTTAAATGTTGTTATGCTCTGTTCTTTTTTGCTAACAATTTACGCTTTTGACGATAAATAAATTTTTTTTAAAAGCAGGCTTTCTTTTTACTAATAGCTCCTCCCTATTAATACATTTAAAAGTTTTGATTTCCTTTATATGTTTATCTTAAATTTTTTTATATATATAAAGGTAAGTATATAACGTGTTAAAACATATGCTTTAATAACTTTAATTAAATTTTGAGGATTTTTTGTATAGAGAATGTTTTCTTTATATTACTATTTTATTGTTTATTTATATATATATATATATATATATATATATATATATATATATATATATATATATATATATATATATACAGTCATGTGCATGAAAATAGCAGTGGCACAAAAAATTATAAAAAAACCTTATTAAATTTAATGATATGCATAATTTCGGACCGTAATTGTTAATTTTTCATAATTAAGTGTTATCTGACACTATTTAGTCTAAAAAAAGCTTTTAAACTTAAATGGACAATATCATACTACCATTTTTTAAAAAAAGGTACTTTTATCACATTTAATGAATGCAGATTTACCATTAAAAAAGTAAATAAAATATAACATTGATGAAAAACTATTTATTCATCTTTTGAAAATACATCTAATACTTAGTTCCATGACCCTTATTTTTCAATACTGCTTTACATCTTCGTGGCATTGACTCGATTAGATGACGACATCTTTCTAAGGGAATAGCTCTCCAAGCTGCTTCAACTGCTCTCCAGAGTTCCTCTTTATTGGCTGGTCTAGACAAAGATACTGCTCTTTTAACATCCCCCCACAGGTTTTCTATCGGGTTCAGGTCTGGGGATTGTGCTGGCCAGTTCATTACCTCAACCTTATTCTCTACAAACCAATTTTTAGCTTTACGAGAGGTGTGTTTAGGATCATTATCCTGCATAAAGATCCACTTCAAAGGCATTTCTTCTTTTGCATATGGTAACATGACTTCTTGCAGTATTTTAACATAAGCAGTTGCATCCATGATGTCTTTGATCCAAAAAATAGGGCCCAATCTAAACCAAGAAAAACAACCCCATGCCATCACCTGGCAGCCACCATATTTTATTGTCTTGGTGGTATACTTTATATTATATTCTGTTCGTGGGGGTCTTCGTACAAACTTTTCGTGAATACCTGGATTAAATAAAACAATTTTAGTCTCATCACTCCAAAGAATATTACGCCATTTCGATGATGGCCATTCTTGATGCTCTTTAGCAAATGCGATTCGATTTTTAATCTGTCTCTTATTTAGAAGTTGAATTTTTCTGGGCCTTCTGGCTTTTAAATTGGCTTTTATCAAACGTCTTCTCACTGTCGAGGACGATATTGGTAAATTTAATTCCGTTTTTATGGCTGTGGAACTCATAAAAAGATTTATCTTCGCACATCTAATAATTTTACGGTTCGTTTTCAATGACGTTTTAAATTTTCCCCCACGCAATTCCGCTTTTTGTGTCCATTTTTTGGCATTGGAAATCATTTTTGCAGAACATTGTAAAGCATCTTGGATGAATTTGTAAGTTTTACCATCTTTTAACATATTTAAAATTATTTGACGCTTCTCATTGGAACAATGTTTTGCTCTACCCATTTTAACTGTAATAAAATTGTGAAACTTAATAAAATATTGTTTAATTTTAATGAACAAACACTTACCTTAATGTATAAAAAAAATTGATGGTAAAAACAACTTTTAAGGCACAAATAGAAAATAAAGTGTATATTCACTGCTATTATAACGCACAGTTAATAAAGCAAAATTTTATAATTTAATTTAAATTCTGATACATGTATGTATAAACAGCAATATTGCCAACCTCTTTATATTTAAAAACCCTAACAGAAAATATTTAGAGAATAAAATATACAAAATTAACCATCAGTAAAAAAATTAAATGTATTTTATAAATAATTTTCTCCCACTGCTATTTTCATGCACATGACTGTATATTTATATATATATATATATATATATATATATATATATATATATATATATATATATATATATATATATATATATATATATATATATATATATATATATATATATATATATATTTATATATATATATATACATATATATATATATATATATATATATATATATATATATATATATATATATATATATATATACATATATATATATATATATATATATACATATATATATATGTATATATATATATGTATATATATATATGTATATATATATATATATATATCTATATATATATATATATATATATATATATATATAT